AACCATAAACAAAAGAGTTGTTATTTGATTAACGGGATCACATCATAGAAGAATGATGTGATTGACATGACCCATTTCATTAGCTTAGCACCCGATCGTTTAGTATGTTGCTATTGCTTTCTTCATGACTTATACATGTTCCTATGACTATGAGATTATGCAACTCCCGTTTGCCGGAGGAACACTTTGTGTGCTACCAAACGTCACAACGTAACTGGGTGATTATAAAGGAGCTCTACAGGTGTCTCCAAAGGTACATGTTGGGTTGGTGTATTTCGAGATTAGGATTTGTCACTCCGATTGTCGGAGAGGTATCTCTGGGCCCTCTCGGTAATGCACATCACATAAGCCTTGCAAGCATTGCAACTAATGAGTTAGTTGTGAGATGATGTATTACGGAACGAGTAAAGAGACTTGCCGGTAACGAGATTGAACTAGGTATTAAGATACCGACGATCGAATCTCGGGCAAGTAACATACCGATGACAAAGGGAACACCGTATGTTGTTATGCGGTCTGACCGATAAAGATCTTCGTAGAATATGTGGGAGCCAATATGAGCATCCAGGTTCCGCTATTGGTTATTGACCGGAGACATGTCTCGGTCATGTCTACATTGTTCTCGAACCTGTAGGGTCCGCACGCTTAAGGTTTCGATGATAGTTATATTATGAGTTTATAAGTTTTGATGTACCGAAGGAGTTCGGAGTCCCGGATGAGATCGAGGACATGACGAGGAGTCTCGAAATGGTCGAGATGTAAAGATCAATATATTGGACGACTATATTCGGACATCGGAAAGGTTCCGAGTGATTCGGATATTTTTAGAGGTACCGGGGAGTTACGGGATTACGAGGAAGAAGCAATGGGCCTTAATGGGCCTTAGTGGGAAGGACCAGGAGGTGGCGCGCCCCCCTCCCAAACCTAGTCCGAATTGGACAAGGGGTTTGGGGCGCGGCCCCTCTCTCCCTTCCTTCCCCTTTCCCCCCCTTTCCCCCCTTCTCCTAGTTGGACTAGGAAAGGAGGAAACCTACTCCAACTAGGAGTAGGAATCCTACTCCCCTGGCGCGCCCCTCCTAGGGCCGGCCTCCTCCCCCTTGCTCCTTTATATACGGGGGTAGGGGGGCACCTCTAGACACACAAGTTGATCTTCGTGATCGTTCTCTTAGCCGTGTGCGGTGCCCCCCTCCACCATAATCCTCGATAATATTGTAGCGGTGCTTAGGCGAAGCCCTGCGACGGTAGAACATCATGATCGTCACCACGCCGTCGTGCTGACGGAACTCTTTCCCGACACTTTGCTGGATCGGAGTACGGGGATCGTCATCGAGCTGAACGTGTGCTAGAACTCGGAGGTGCCGTAGTTTCGGTGCTTGATCGGTCGGGCCGTGAAGACGTACGACTACATCAACCGCGTTGTGCTAACGCTTCCGCTTCCGGTCTATGAGGGTACGTAGACAACACTCTCCCCTCTCGTTGCTATGCATCACCATGATCTTGCGTGTGCGTAGGAAATTTTTGAAATTACTACATTCCCCAACAGTGGCATCAGAGCCTAGGTTTTATGCGTTGATGTTATGCACGAGTAGAACACAAGTGAGTTGTGGGCAATATAAGTCATACTGCTTACTACAATTGATCCCATATACTTGTGGGTTATCATCAGGCGAAAATTCATGGCAATCGTCCAGATTTGCCCCCACCCCTGTGCGCTCGGCCACCACCCCGCCGATCCCAGCGCCGCCTGATACGTCTCCGTCGTATCTACTTTTCCAAATACTTTTGTCCTTGTTTTGGACTCTAACTTGTATGATTTGAATGGAACTAACCCGGACTGACGCTGTTTTCAGCAGAATTCCATGGTGTTGTTTTATGTGCAGAAAACAAATATTTTCGGAATGACCTGAAACTCCACGGAACATCTTAGAAAAAATAATAAAAAATCCTCGCCAAAGATGAAGACCAGGGGGCCCACACCCTGTTCACGAGGGTGGGGGGCGGCCCCCTAGGGCGCGCCCCCTACCTCGTGGGCCCCCTGGATGCCCTCTAACGCCAACTCCAACTCTATATATTTGCTTCCAGAGAGAAAAAAATAAGAGAGAAGAAACCATCGCGTTTTACGATATGGAGCCGCCGCCAAGCCCTAAAACCTCTCGGGAGGGCTGATCTGGAGTCTGTTCGGGGCTCCGGAGAGGGGGATTCGTCGCCGTCGTCATCATCAACCATCCTCCATCACCAATTTCATGATGCTCACCGCCGTGCGTGAGTAATTCCATCGTAGGCTTGCTAGACGGTGATGGGTTGGATGAGATTTATCATGTAATTGAGTTAGTTTTGTTAGGGTTTGATCCTTAGTATCCATTATGTTCTGAGATTGATGTTGCTATGACTTTGCTATGCTTAATGCTTGTCACTAGGGCCCGAGTGCCATGATTTCAGATCTGAACCTATTATGTTTTCATGAATATATGTGAGTTCTTGATCCTATCTTGCAAGTCTATAGTCACCTACTATGTGTTATGATCCAGCAACCCCGAAGTGACAATAATCGGGACCACTCCCGGTGATGACCATAGTTTGAGGAGTTCATGTATTCACTATGTGCTAATGATTTGTTCCGGTTCTCTATTAAAAGGAGGCCTTAATATCCCTTAGTTTCCAATAGGACCCCGCTGCCATGGGAGGGTAGGACAAAAGATGTCATGCAAGTTCTTTTCCATAAGCACGTATGACTATATACGGAATACATGCCTACATTACATTGATGAATTGGAGCTAGTTCTGTGTCGCCCTATGTTATGACTGTTACATGATGAACCGTATCCGACATAATTATCCATCACTGATCCGGTGCCTACGAGTTTTCCATATACTGGTTTACGCTTATTTACTTTCCCGCTGCTACTGTTACAATTACTACAAAATACCAAAAACATTACTTTTGCTGTCTTTACTTTTGTTGCCGCTACCACCACTATCATATTACTTTGCTACCAAACACTTTGCTGCAGATACTAAGTTTCCAGGTGTGGTTGAATTGACAACTCAGCTGCTAATACTTAAGAATATTCTTTGGCTCCCTTGTGTCGAATCAATAAATTTGGGTTGAATACTCTACCCTCGAAAGCTGTTGCGATCCCCTATACTTGTGGGTTATCACCGCCCACCGCCCAACACCGCTAGATAGGCCATTCCCCGCCGGAAAAGAGAGAAGGTTCGGCCATGGCAACCTCTCCACCACCTTTCGGGCGAGTTTTCCGGCGCTCCGGCCGCGCAGGGAGGCATACCGGTGGCTCTGCGCCCACCGTGTCTGCTAGGTGTTCGGCGATTTGCCTGCTCGGTGATGGACTCGGACGAGGAGGAGGCGCTCACGGCATTGCTGGAGGAGGAAGTCGATGCCTAAGTCCAGGACGAGGAGCATCTCATTGTCCTCGCCACCCCCGCCGACCTGCTCGCGAGCAATAAAAAGACACGGCGAGGTGGCTTGGCGCCGGGGCGGCTGAAAGCAGAGAACCGGCTATGAGGATGCTTGCATACGGAGCTCCCGGTGATTCACTCGACGTCTATGGTTGCATGCATTGGAAATGGAAGCACTGTCCATTTGTTTGGCAGAGGATGTACAAAGGCGCCAAAGATGGTTGCAGTGTGGTATTTGAGGCAGTGGCCACACAGGACCTCTGGATTTGGCACTCCTTCTTTGATATGCCAGAAACTCACAATGACATCAACGTGCTACAATGCTCCCTTGTCTTTGCCAAGTTTGTTGAAGGTCATTCTCCTTCGGTGAACTTCGAGGTCAATGTGCAGCACTACAACAAGGGGTACTACCTAGCTGATGGCATCTATCCGAGATGGTCTACATTTATGAAGACTATCTCAAACCCTGTGCCAGGAGGCAAGAACTTCCACTTTGCGAAGATTCAGGAGGCTTGCAGGAAGGATGTTGAGCGGGCATTCGGTGTGCTCCAATCTCGATTTGCTGTTGTCCGGTACCCCGCTCAGACCTGGTCGAAAGATCAAATGTAGGAGATCATGACTTGTTGTGTCATCTTGCACAACATGATCATTAAGAGCGAGCAGGAAGAGCCAGTGTTTGACACTGAACCATATTACAGGCAGGGTCCTCTTGCGCAAGTTGAACACCAGCTACCGACAACCTGGACTGCCTTCCTCAATATGCGTCAGGAGATCCGAGACCCACAGGTGCATCAACAACTGTAACAGGATCTGGTGGAGCACCTATGGAGGCTCAAGGGCAACGACTAGCTCGACGTGTGATGAAATATGAGTTTTTATTTGTTAAACTATATAATTTGTATTGAACTATTTGATTTCTATTGATTTTCTGTGATGAACTATGTGATAAAAATTACTCTTGTTGAATTTGCGCTGAACCAGGGCGAATATGGGCTGATTTGCCCCGATACCGAGCCGATTTTTCGTTGAAAATGGGCCGAAAAACAGACACATTTGCATCAAAAATGGGCCGATATCAAAAATGGGGCGGCGGCTGGGAACCCAATCACCCCCGTGTCGATTTTAGCGCTGGCTGCGAGAGGCGATTTTTAAGCCTCCTGGTGGTGCTAACGGCCAGCGATGCTTTTAGATTGGTCCTAGAAGAAACTTATACTAGTGTCATACATATGATATTACTCTAAGTTACCATCCTCATAGTGCAAAGTAATATAGTAGTAGTGTCATATGTGGCTTCATTTAATAGCTTGTATACTCATGTTGTCTTGAAAAACACTATGTTACAGTAACATATTATGTTGCCACTTCTCATTAACTACTTGCTACATAAGCAAAAATATCTCAAAGTGCGTTATGTTATTGTTTAAGTTACTCTCACTATGACTAGCCCGGCACATCTAAATATGCTGTAGCAAAACGGTAAAGTAAAAATCAATTCCCCAACCCGGAGTTCCGCCGGCGATCGTAAAGGCCCGTGCAGTTCCGTCCTCTCTCTTGCTGACCGCGGCGGCCCGACGCGGTCAGCAATGCCGCAAGCCGCCACCCAAGAGGGAGAGGCGTCGGGGTCCGGACCAACCCTCGCGCTCCGCCGCGGCCGGAGCTCCACCGTCTCAGCAACGCCCACGACGACCACCCGGTCGATGGCCCTGGTGCGTGCGCGGCGGAAGCCCCCGGGCTCCCAATCGCCACAGGAACCACCCGTGCGGTCCCCGACAAGGAAGAGAAAGAGGGGGGCGGCTGCCAACCAGAAATCGAAGGAACGGACAAGGACCAGGGATGAGGAGGAGGAGGAGGATGGGGTCTCATCTGCAGGCAGCTCCCCAATTCGCGCGCCGCAGATTCCGGATGCGTTATACGAAGATCTGGATATGCTCAAGGCCATTCAAGATGTACACGATGCATACGATGAAAAATTAGGTTTGTTGTTCAAGTACCCTCCATTCCTTTTAATGTTTCACGTCCTGTCATTATCATGTATACTATCTAGTATGCCTGTGAGAGACAAGAACATGAGACATTTGCAGATTATCTTGAAATCGAGACATGTGCCGCCTATTGTGAAGTTCAACTTAGCGAAGCGACATATCCTCTGAATGCTGCTGAAATCAAATGACAGTTTAGCATATTAGTGTTAACTTCTGATTGCTGATCTTCTTGCAGGCCGCCAAATGGAACTGCCGACTCTTTATCTGCACACGTGTAAACCGCCCACATGCTTGAGTACTAATCCTAAGCTTCTTCGTGTCCGTGAATCCACAACAAAGACAGTGCTTGCTGCTGCTCCATCAGTTATTGGACTTTCATCCTCTGTTGGTATGACAACTATGTCATGTCTATTTGTTAGGAGCGCTGCGAGAATAGGTTGTTCCTTGTTCATACATGCATGCGTTTGCAGGTCGTCATTTGCTAACACGATGCTCTGGATTTTGGGTTGATTGGGATGAGGAAAACAAAAAAGGTACTGTTTTGACTACTGCACATGTGATTCGCACGAAGTCCCCATCCTCAAATGACTGGCTAGGTAAAGATGAGTATGCTCCCAAGGCCAAGGTGAGTTGTTAAGGATAGGAAAATGGCAGTTTGTATTCACTTATTTTTTGTGCATGTAGTCTCATACTAGTTCAACCTTACTTAACTCATTTTATTTGTGGCGTAAGATAGCTAGTCCTGTCCACATTTAACATAACTCCATCCGCAGTTACACCTGCATATTCTATCTTCTGACACTAGAACTAGGGAGGTGTTAAAGTGAAGTATGTTGGCTGACACAATGATACAATTAGCTAGCACCGAAATAACGATATAATTTTTTGGTAAACCATGCATGCATAATGAATCAATTCAATTAGTCACTATCTATTTTTTATACAAATGGTGAATTCAATGGAGCTAAAAGAGTAATTTGCATTGCATCCACATGTGGCTTTGTGGGAGATGCTGACCAATTTAAGAAGACATGGGTATAACTATAAATGTCATCATATTTTTTCTTTTCTAACTTCTAAGACATCATTGGTTTTCGAACAAATAAAAATATCTAAAACATCATATTTCACAACTTCTGTTTCAGGTTTTTGTTCACTTGCGGGATGCCACTACTCAGAAGGCCACCATGCTGTACTACGAGAAGCACTAGAATCTTGCTATGCTTGAGGTTAGAGTAGAAGAACCTGTCCAGTTGCTCTCCTTCAATGATGACGTGAAAAGTGCTGAAGAAGTGTTTGAACTCGGAAGAGATGAAAGTTCATTTCTAACGATAGGTCATGGTATGGTGCAATATCTGAATCCCAACCTGCTTGAACGGCATCACTATCTGTATGTTCATGGCGCAGATGAGCATCCTAAGGTACAGATTGTAATCTATTCTGAGATTATTGTCTACATTGTTTCGTTATTTGGATAATGTCATCTGTTGTTTTATTTTGCAAAATGTTGGTATCAAAATTTAATGTTGCTAATACATATGTTCCAGTATGACAATGGAGGGCCAGTTATTGACTTTGATGGCAAGATTGTGGGAATGGTCAGCAACAGCACGAGAGGGTCCATTATCCCTTCATCCATTTTGCTCAAGTGCTTGCATTTGTGTAAGAAATTTGGGTATTGTCTTTTCTTTTAGTTCTGTCTTAGTGTTATTAAAATAATCTTCTTTACTATTTTTTTACTGTTAAGAGTTAAACGCCTCTCCCATGGTTCTTACTCTTACGTTGAGTTGTTCCACTTCGATTTGTCTTGTCAAGTTATTTGTTGTATTTCTTTCAAATATAGTTTGCTGCCACGGGGGATAGCTGTCCCCAGGCTTGTTGCCATTGGACGCGTTGCCTTGGGATATGTGTCCTCAACTTGGTAGTAATCTAAAACCCAATTAGCATCTGATGATAAAGTTGCACAAACATACAAATGAGTGCTACTTACACCTGACATTGCGTACCATACTTATTACTTGAATTATCATGTCACACCAACATCAATGGTGAACATGTTGCTTGGGTTTATGTGCCATATTTAAAGCTATACATGTATGTGTCGCTTTTGCATGCATGCATGAGCATACATTGTGGATTGCGCAAAAGAGGTACTGAGAACAAGCAAATACTGTAAGCTTGTCTTATTGCAGTCTACTTATTAGATTTACTCACGAGAATGAGTATCTCAAACTTTTGGCTGTTTGTGCTCATTACACGTGTCTTCATTACACTGTTGGGACCAGGTGTATGGTTAGTATGTGAAAAGTACATAATTTCTCTGTTTATCCCAAGTTGTAGTAAATCGATGCGTGTTGATTTGCAAGAAAACCTGAATGACAGTTTATATCGCGTGTTTTATTGAAACTGGATCCCATAGTTACAAACATACAATTTTATAGGCAGGCTTCCATACCTTTCCTGGCTTAAGAAGGATAGGAATGGGCCAGCACAAACATGATGTTTGTTGTTTGTTTATTTTCCCTGGCCAGAATTAAACATGATTGAAGCATATGCATGCTGTGTACGCACCATGCATGGGGTAAAAACACATCATATAGACACGAAGGGTGAAACATATGTATGATGTCTAACTCGTTACCATGCATGGGTAGCAAGGTTTTCGAGTCGACAAGTCGGTCTGGGGTAGCGACTCTTGACGAGTCGTGCCGTGGCGATCGACTAATCTCGACCAGTCTCGAGTAGTCGAGGTGTTTGAGTCGACTTCCAGTTATGACTCATCGACTAGTCGACGACTAGTCGCTACTAGTCGTTCGACTTGAAAACAGGGATGGGTAGACAAAGGCATAATAAAGTTGGATGTAGTCAGGTGTCGATCAATGCTCACCAGCAGCAGTCATTCACGTGGCGCTCCTACATTTTGCTTCGGCTTGCAAACGCCTGCCAAAGGAAGTAGAACTACAAAATAATCACCATGTCATTCTCTTTATCATGTATGACTTATACATATCTAAACTATCATGGTGTGGAAAGGATATTGTTAAGTTTGGTCTGTCCTGTTTTTATCTTTCTCTTGGCTCATGCAATAATAAAAAAAAAAGGCAACCTGGTGCATGTGGCTCCCGCTTGCGCAGGGTCCAGGGAAGGGTCCGACCACTTTGGGTCTATAGTACGCAGCCTTTCCCTACATTTTTGTAAGAGGCTGTTTCCAGGACTTGAACCCATGACCTCATGGTCACAAGGCAGCAGCTTTACCACTGCGCCAAGGCTCCCCTTCCCTATGGACAGGGGTGCGTGGAAGCTTGCTATCCATGTGCCAGAGCCATGAGTTGGTTGCGAGATCTTATGGGTTTCACTTCTAGCCTACCCCAACTTGTTTGGGACTAAAGGCTTTGTTGTTGTTGTTGTTGTTGCTGTTGTTGTTGTTGCTCATGCACCAGTTCTTTAAATTCACGATTTAACAGGAGGATATTATTTCCTATGATAGTGCCATTACATTAAGTCAATATTATTCTTAGGAAAAGATAGCAACAAGTCTTCTTTCTCCCTCCATTTTCTTCCTACAGTTAGCGGACCCATGCAAATCATAGTCAACGTCGTAAGTAGTTCCGGTCCATTTTTATTTTTCAATAAGAATGTCCAACCCAGCCTAGCACATTGGCGACAGCACTTTATCCTCTGCCTTGGTACGCTCGCCGCGGCGCCGCCGTCCGGCCCTGTCAACATAGTGAATCGGGAGAGGACTGTAGTTGTGAGTATGATAGTACAGACCCACCAGGTCCATTCCCGAACACAAGCAAACGCCTCTTTTACTACTCAGATGCACCCCTCATTTTTTACTCTAATCCACCCTGCTGATATCTGGGACCCACATCATTTTAAACGTATAGTCAATTAACAACAGAATTGCACAACTTTTTTGAGTAGTAATTCGGAGGAGCAGGCTACAAACTGGGTTGTGTGGTCTATGCGGCCCGTCTAACAACATGACCAGCCCAGCAGTTTTTTCTTTGAGAAAATAGGTAGCCCGATATTTCTTTTTGAAGAATACCCAAGCTAGGCATATTTGTTTTCTCCGACTTACTAGGCTGCAAATCTTTCAAGACGAGGAGGGATGCATTCCGGCCTGGCCAAAGAGTATGATCAGTGTCTATTAAAAGTAATATCAAAGGGGTTGAAAATTCCAAAAAAAATATAGCACATGGGAAATTAGTTTCTTTTTTTGTTTTTGTTCTTCACTGATATTTTATATTTCATTGGATTTAACATGACATAGTACTAATTTATTTTTAAATTTGTTTTAGTATGGCTACTAATTTTTGGATTAAGAATATTTTTCCCGAGCAAAAATTTGCGAATTTTCAAAATTTCACACATATTTAGTTTAATTTTTTAACCCTGGTACTGACCAGAAAATGGGCAGGAATTCTAAAAATGGAAAATGGGCTGTAATAAATTCCATATGAATTAGAAAATGAGTAAAAATTATAAAAATAAAAGCAAATGGGCGGTACACGCCACAGATTTCGAGGCTGGCTTGTTTACGCAAGGCTTTGTGAGTCAACACACGATTCTAGCAGTAGTGACTGTTGGATGTCCATCCAACGGCCGACGTGCTTCTTCAATCTCTGATCTTCCTGCTCCAGCCGCCTACACTAGCGCTGATGGGACTGCCTGCTCCCACCTCTTGTGGCCCGCTGTGATGCCGCACATGCTTCACCAGCCCACACTACTCCCTCCGCTGGCCTGGCCGCACGCAATCAACTGCCTCCTTATTACACGGAAAAAATGATTCCTCCCACTGACATCTGGGGCACACCAGTTGGGAGGCTAACCTGTGGGCCTACTAAATTGACGCATACACATGGCTTGTCAACTTAGTCAACAAACGATTCTAGGAGCAATGGCCATTGGATTTGAATCAAACGGTCCTGCCGCTTCTTCAATTGCTGCTCTTCTTGCACCAGCCGCCCAAACCAGCGCCGACGAGACTGCCTACTCCTGCCTCCCGTGGCCGGCTATGCTGCCGCGGAAGCCTCACCGCCCCCTACTACTCCCACCGCTGGCCAGGCCCTGCGGCGACGGCAGCCTCACATCGCAGCCAAACGAGTGAACCCTCGTACTCCTCTCTGCGTGGGCATCCACTACCACGTCTTCCCCGGCTCCGTGTCGTCCCCTTCCTAGGACTCGCCTTCGTCCACCGTCCTGGTGCTCTCGGTGCGGCGTGGTCAACGTGGTCAAGGAACGACTTCCATCGGAAGAGTACTGTACGTGGAGAGGCTGACAGCCGGTTCCACGGCCGCAGCAAGGAATTCTCCTTATTACGCGGAAAATAATGATTCCTCCACCTGACAGTGGGGACCCACCGGACGGGCCACCAAATTTTGTGAAAAAACGTTCCCCCTGACTGCTGGGACCCACCAGCTACATCTTCGCACGCAAGGAAGTGTGTCCATATTACAGGCAAAAAATCGATTCACCCCCTGACTGCTGGGACCCACCAGCTACATCTTCGCACGCAAGGAAGTGTCTGACAGTTGGGACCCACCCGGTCGAACCGTACGTAGCGTTGTCATTTTGGTCGCGAACGTGTACGTACATACTGGTCGATGTAGAGGCACGCACGTGTGGTAGTAGAGGCGCGCACGTAGCATGTACACGTACATACAGCGGCCAGGGTGCAAGAAAGTAAATACGGCCACGCACGTGCATAAGGGCGGGGTCTCAAACGCCTACTCGCGCATACGTACGGCTAGGGCTCGTGTACATGGCTATGGCTGGGTCGGAACGGAGAAACTGCGTCGTCATCGTGTTCATGGGGAGGCAACGAAATGCGTCGTGTTCATCAGGAGGAAACGGAACGCGTGTTGTTCATCGGGAGCCAACCGGCTTGGGCGGAATAGGCGATGGAAACGAGGCCTGGCATAGCGCAGAACGAAGGAAACGGCCTTGTGTTCGACCGGCCACGGTGGAAACAGGATCCTCTTCATCGGGAGGGGTCTGGCGTACCGCAAAACGAAGGAAACGGACCTCCTACGGTCGAAACGGGGTCTTGTTGATCGGGAGGGGTGTGGCGTACCGCAAAATGGAGGAAACGGACTTGTGTTGGAGCACTACAGTCGAAACGGGGGTCCTGTTCATCGGGAGGGGTGTGGCGTACCGCAAAACGGGACTCCACGGGATACTGTTCATCTCCACTGTCGACCTCCTC